GCTCTTAGATTCCAATCGTTCATGCTTTATAAACTTTACTGTGGGCTCTCTGTTTCTTCACGCTGTTCTTTTTCTGCTCTATCGCTCCCTTCTCCGCGCTATTCCAATTCAGTTGCCGCTATGTCTCTCTCCTTATTGCTCTGCTTTTTCTGCGCCTTCTCTCAGCCAAATGTTCCTCACCTCCTTCAGGGGTTTTCCTTGTCTCCCGTACGAAGCTGTCAGTTCTACTTTTCGCTTCCCTCTCAAACTGTCGCCATCGCTCCAGGCCGGCCTTAAAGACCGGCTTCTTCTCCGCCAATTTTAAAAGTGCTGCTCCTGTTTGCTCGGGTGTTTGCATTCCACCCGGCTTCTCTGAAGCTTCCTCTTTAGTTTACCAATCTCTCCGGGATCGGCAAAGCCCTTTCTGGGCTCTTAGCAAAGATTTCCCGGGATTTAGGAACAGAGATCTATTCCTTCACCCGCTCCACGATGACGTCACAGCCGGAAGTGTTAACACCACTTTATAATGCCTTGGTATAACCACACTTGGAATACTGCATCTAGTTTTGGTTGCCACAATGTAAAAAATATGTTTAGGCTCTAGAAAGAGTGCAGAGAAGAGCAACAAAGATGACCAGGGGACCAGAGGCTAAAACACATCAAGAATGATTGCAGGAATTGGCTATGTCTAGATTAATGAAAACAAGGCTTAAGGGTGACATGATAGCAGTGTTCTAATATCTAAGGGGTTACCACAAAGAAGACGGAGTCAACCTATTCTCCAAAGCACCTGACAGCAGTGCTGAGTCAAACTATTCTCCAAAGCACCATGACAGCAAAAGTCATGGATGGAAACTAATCAAGAAGAGAAGCACCTAGAACTAAGAAGAAATTTCCTGACAGTTAAAACAATTAATCAGTGGAACGATTTGCCTCCAGAAGCTGTGAATGCTTCAACACTGGATTAGACAACATTTGTCTGAAATGGTATAGAGATTCCTATCTGAGCAGGAGGTTGGACTAGAAGACTTCCATGGTCCCTTCCAACTCTGTTATTCTGTTATTTTGTTAAATGAATTAGTCAGGTAATTTAAAAACATAATGTACAGTACCAAGACACCTCACAGGATTAGCTTATCCTCTAGGCCAGGGGTGTCAAACTCAATTTCAATGAGGGCCGCATCTGCATTGCGGTTGCCCTCCAGGGGCTGGGTGGGTGTGGGCAGGGTAGGTGTGGCCTATTGGGTGGGCGTGGGTGGAGTGGGTGAGGCCTACTGTGTGGGCATGGCCATCTCTACATTGTTCGTGTCAAGGGTGCCTGTGGGGGCCTGGCAGGAGTGGGACAGATCTGAGGGTCTCTGGCAGAAGGGGGTCGCACCAGGGCAAGTGCCAAGGCATGGTCCACTGAGGAGCCTCACTGTTCCTCTCAGGCCATGCAGGGAGGCCTGGATGGTGGTGCAGGCTGCCCGGAGCCCTGGGCAGCAGAGGTCAAATGCCCAGCCTTGCCCTCGAGCACCCGTGACACCAAGCCCAACCACACTTCCCCAAGGGGGCACCCAGCTGCACTTACCTCCTCCTGAAGGCTGTGCTTGCTCTCCTTAGCCGTGTTGCTCATGATGGGTACGAGGGCAAAGTCAGAGGGAGGCCCATTCCCTTTCCATGGGAGGAGACCCGGCTTTGTATCCAAAGCTTCCTTAGCAATAGGATGGGAGACCCCCAGGATAGGCCAGGAGGAGGGGGCAAGGGGATGGTGAAAGGGCAGCAGGGCAGGACTAAGGCAGGACTTCCCTGAGATCCTCCCTCTCCTTCTTTCCTTCTTTCCTTCTTTCCTTCTTTCCTTCCTTCCTTCCTTCCTTCCTAAGAACAGAGTGGTGGGAAAATATTTGAGATGAGGGAGGGAGAAAAACAGGCAAGAATCGCAGCTCGGGAGGTGTCACCCTTCATGAGGAATGAAGAAAAGCACCATCGCCTGGAAGTGGCCAGCAAATGGTGAATTTCTTCATTCCTCACAAAGGGTGACATCTCCCCAGCAGGCACCCAGAAGGAGGGGCCGATGCGGCAGAGCACAAATCAACGTGGCGATTGATGGAATCAGTTCCTGAGAACCATGCCTCTTTCAGCAGGCGACCTCCCTTTGTGGTGTCATTGGCCAGGATTTGAGTGTTCTCAAAATCAAAACTATGGGCCCAAATCCCAGATTTGGGCCCATATGTCCGAACAAGGACATAGTTTTGATTTTGAGAACACTCAAATCCTGGCCAATGACACCACAAAGGGAGGTCACCTGCTGAAAGAGGCATGGTTCTCAGGAACTGATTCCATCAATCGCCACGTCGATTTGTGCTCTGCACATCAAGCCTTAAGAGTGTGGAATACCAGCCGCTGCACAGACGATCCTGGAAGATTCAGTTATGAATGGCATGATCGGAAGAAGAAAATCCCTTGGCACCTACACCCCCCATCACCCACTTACCTACCACCGGATGGACAACTTCCACCGAATCGCCAATGGATGGTTCCCAATAAACATCCCCCTCAGGAACCATTAAGGCACCTGAAAAGTGACTTTGCCTGGGAACAGAGAAATAACATAACCAACTGTGGAACGGAGCCTGAGGGACAGGAGGACAAAAGGTCGGAAGACCGTAGTAAAGAGGGACTACTCTCTAATGGCACCAGCAGACATATGATGATAACTCGATCAAGGCAGAAGGAGGGACAACACCCCCCTCCAGCGCAATTAACAACGCTCTGGCAGAAGACTGAATGAGAGAGCGCTAGTAATGGGATAGTTATGGAAGGTGCTGGTAGGAATAAAAGGAGAGAACCCCCACTGTGGCACGAGGGTAACAGCAGGCAGGAACGGAGCAGGGACGAGGCTTGTAAAAGCTTAGGGGAGGATCCCCCTCTCCCCCCCTCGGACCTGGCATACAATCACACACGGAGTACTGGAGGTGCTGCATGAAGGCAGTGCTGTAACAGCTGGCCCCTGAATATGCATAACATTACAATAGCGAATGGGGCGGTACGGGAGGAAACACAAGCTCGGAGAAGGAGAGGGGTGAACGATGACGCGAGCAATATGCTCGAAGTACGGCAGGATCAGCTGGGGCCAGTTACACGCTCCAGGAGTCGGAAACAGACACTCGGCAATGGTATATAAGACTTCAATCGGTGTTTGCCTTTTAACCCTGACGTAGATTAAATTCTATATTTTATAGATGCTTTCTTGGTGGGCTGTATTTATTTGGATATTATATATATATATATATATATATATATATATATATATATATATATATATATATATATATATATATATATATATATATATATATATATATATATATATATATATATATATATCTGTCTTTTAAAATACTAAAAATGCGAATCCTGGACATTATGTTAACAAATAAAAGAAAAAACGAACACTAGAATAAAATAAACCAGCCTGTTTAATATAAACAAGCCTGTGGTTAAAAAGAGTCACTAAGCTTTCGTCCAGCCAAAAACTGCCGGCGTCATCAGAGTTAGAATAGCAAGAG